CATAGATAGTGATTAAGTTTCAGTCTGATGTAAAGTCACAATAGTGCTCAGAATAACTTTACAACAAAATAATCTTTATCAGCGAACTTTTCCAGCAAATTTGGAATGGTGCTTTGCTTACTATCATTCTTAATTTCTAACCACTTTTTGTTGTTCTTTCTCCTCCCTTTACATTATTCTCTACTTTCCCCTTTTCCTTTTTCTTCTATTTTCATCTATCACTTTGCTTTGTCCTTCCTTTCCATTTTTTCTTCTTCTTTCCCATTGTCTCTTTCTATATATCACTCTCTCTTCTTTCATTCCAATTTCAATCTTTCTCTCTCCATCACTTTCTTTTCTTTAGAATCTTTTTCTTTCATAATTTCTCTCTTTCTTGGACATTTGTCAGATTGTCAGAAAAGAAGTTTTTTTTCCCATCAAAGGAAAACCTTTTGTTTTTTTTTTTTATATCTTCACCAAATCTCCTCTCTGGACAGATGACATTAGATGTCCGAAAGATTATTCAAATTCCTCTCTTCCCAAATCTTATGTCTCTTCTTCAGCATTGTAAAGAACTCTAACCTTGTCATATGCAGCAAAACTTAAAATACAAAATGCTTTAAAGAAAAAAAAAAGAAAAAACTGTCAGTAGATATTCACATATAACAATATAAATAAAATGATTTTTTTGTCTTTTTTGAGCTGAAAACTTAGAAAAAAAATTATATACACAAAGTTTTTTTTTCTGAACTGATTTTGACATAACACTCCACCCCCCACATATATATATATATATATATATATATATATATATATATATATATATATATATATATATATAAAATGTCTATTTTGGCTATTTTACTTTAATGTTTTCTGATTTTGACTATTCATTTTTTTTTTTTACTTAGGATGACCAGTCTTTCAGGAATGGAATTTTGGTCAATATTTTTTTTTTGCCTCTGTCACTTGATTAGCTGAAAGGTTATTCAGATGAGACATTTTTGCACCTTTGTATTAATCTTGGAAAGTGTTGTCATCACCTGCAGCCATATAATCTGGCAGTTCAAACTTTGACAACTCTTTTACTATTTCTTTCAGTCCTACAGAATAACCCTAAAACAACGCATACACCAAACTACCTTTTGAGATTACTGTACACTCATTTTATCTTCAGATGTATGTGAGAAAGTACTGAAAGTGTCTTGGTGTGACCCATTCATAGAATAAGTATTTCAATCGCTAAACATGAGATTTTTTTAAAGGTTTTAATAAACTTGTGTAATGATGAGCAAGGTGTGTTGAATGATATATTTCATCCCTTGAGGTCATTCTCATTATAGTGTGGCTGTACTAATTCACCTAAATGCACTTACCCCCCACCCCAATGCTGTTTGACATGTTGAAGGCAAGAGTCACAGAAGAAAGCAGAGAATGATCTTCCTAATGAGAAAGCTTGCCTCAATGGTTGGTAGAACAAAGATTAGGAGAGATAGCAAAAAGACAAACACTGCTAAGGACAGGAAATTGTTGAAAGCCATGATTGTCCATGTCTTGAAGAGAGACAGCATATAGAAGAAGTTTAACTCTTAAAATAAATGACCAGTGCATTACTTGACCATAAAGTGAATCCAGCTAGAAATGGTACATGTGGAATGAGAACAAAAAAAAATGGCACAACTAATTCACCTGAATACTGCACCGGCCCCATAAATGAAGTTGCTGTTCAAGGTAGATCACCCTTCTTGCCCACCTCTCTATGTCAACCAATTGAGGGAAGGGAGCTAAATTAGAAAGTTTGATGCCAAAACAAACTGTAGAAAAATAGGCTTGCTTAACTGTCCCTGTTGTAGAGGATGAAGAACCAGTGTGTATTAATTGGGATTATGTTGAACAGAATGAACTATCTGGAAAATGCTGCCCTGTTAACAGCTGATCAAGAAATGTCTCAAAATGTTGTGGATGCTAAGAATTTTTTAATGCAATAGAGTTGAAGAGTTTAATTAGTAATTATGTATTTGAAGTCAATCTTTTTTGAAGATCAAGTTACTGTCTGATCTTGGGTGATATCTGAGAAAATACGGAAATGGCAAGAAGAAAATTAAAGCAAGACTGATAGCTTTGAGGAGGAATCAAACTTTAGTTAAATTTCTAACATTTTTAAGGAACTAGATAGTTTATCTAGGCTCTGACAATTCATAATGAAGAATCCCATTAAAAAGAGAAGAACTGTTTTAGAATCTAGATAAACTATCAAGGCTTTAACACTTCATAATGAAGAATCCGTTAAAAAGATAAGAAACTTTCCTAACATAATATTTAAGTTAAGATGTTAAAGGCATCTTAGATTTGGCAATAATTTTTTTCATTTGGGGTTCTCATAAGAGATTTATTTTTTCTTACCAGTCTCTATCTTCTTCAAAAATGGCTTTTTCTATGTTGAGTATGTGTTTAAAGACTGACCAATGTTTCTTTCAGTAAATACATGTACAAACCATTTCTCCTAATGTTTGTAAGTGATATATTAGATTTAATCATTTGCAAGAGCATTAAAAAATATCAGAAACTTCATAAGGTTTTCCTTATATTTTGTGCAAATAAGAGTTGCTGGGATTCTTTTGTATCAAACTAATATTTGCTGAAAAAAAAGAATGTTTTCCCACATTCTGTTTAGACAAATGAATTCTTTCTTGTGAGTTACTAAGCTTAGCTTAGTTTTGACATAAAGTCACCCATAAAAACTTATAACTCCTTAACTCAGAGTGGTAGTATCTGTTAGGGTCCCAGCTATGGGCAAATAGTGAAACCCAAACAAAAATAAAACATTATGAATGTATAAAGATACATTCTTATAGTAAAGTACCAGAAGTACATTTTTATATTATAAAAATTAAGACAAACAATTGATTTTATCTGAAGTGGAAGGCATACAATTGTGTTCAAAATATATTTAGTTGAAGCCATAAAATTGTTCTGAAATATTCAGATTTCGGCATTAAATAATGCATAATTGAACTCATCCTTCATATTCACAATGCTGTGAACAATGAATTGATCCATTCTTCAGTATTCTTAGAGAAGTATACTGAAGTTAAGCAACATCAAGCTTGGTCAGTACTTAGATGGATGACTGCTTGGGAATATCAGGTGCTGTAAGCTTGGATATGCAGGTAGTGTAATGGATAATGGCCTGAAATTGGTGAATTGAGTTCCAATTCTAGTAAGAATGCAAATACTCTTGAGAAAGGTATGAATAGACCTCTTCTTCTCCTTAGTAATTAACTAGGACTCACTGTAAAAAGCAAATCAATCTATCAATTAATTAAGAGAAGTATATTTTTATAGTGACAGGATATTAATTAATATGTCATGTGGATTAGTACATTTCAAAAGTACTCACATATAATCATGCCATTACCCAGGTAATTACCAACTATACATTGGAGGAAGTTCTTTAACAATTTTCTTGTAAAACAAACATATTATTTACAAAATATAAAAATAATTTCTGCACATTCTTATGGTGATCAGTAATATTATATAATGGCTGGTTGTTTCAAAGTATGCCTGTTTGCTAGGGCAGCGAGCCATCCCTGTTACAGACACTTGCTCAGGCATGTTTTTGTGTTTCTTTAAAATCTACAGTCTATATCTGTGGTTTATATTTTGATTATTCTGAGTGGGCCTTAGTTACAGTTTCTGGCATGATTAACAGTTTAAACAAGGCCAGAGCACTTAGACCCTCAGTCATGATGACTTGTGACTTTGTGCTAGCACAACTATTGGCAAACCATCTACACAGTTTCACTCAGTTAACTCATAGTATGGTTTTCAAGTACTATCCAGAGGTGGGATCATTTTCCCAGGCAGGTTAACATCAAGTAGTCTTCTTGACAAATCAGCCATGTTGAGATTCAAACCTTAGTCTTATGGTCAGAAATTGAATATTCTAAGTACTCGGCCAGGAGCCCATTGTCAGCAATATTATAATTTAAAACAACTCTGTTAGATTTTGCATATATTATTTCACTTTTCGAACTAATTACATTTTCTTTATAATGCAACTGTAGTTTTCTGAATTGATATTTTTAAAAGAAAAATAAGAACATTTCAGAATAATATGCCAAAAATATTTATATCAATCAAAAAATTATTTTGTTTTCAACATTATTTTCTAATTTTTTTGCATCGATAAATACGTCTGTTCATTTTATTAAGATTTTAATTAACAATTAAATCTTTAGTTGTCAGATTTTAGTGTTACAGACATGAGTACACAATGAAAATACTGTTTGTATACTTGATTTAATGGCTGATCAGATAAGTAGTTGAGTAATTAAGGAAATTGCATATATTATATCAAATGTCTAAAAGTTTGAAGAAATCTAAATGTTAAATGTTAATACCTTTTGTACATTTCAGAAAAAAAACATAAAAAACCAAAATAACAGAGGTAAGATGTCTCATTGCATTGTGTAAGAATTTTAGATTAGAATAAAAAATTGAGACTAGGGGTGTGCTGAAAATTTCTCAGCCCAATCAAGAATGGATTCCAAAAGAAATTCTTATGTTTGGTCAGATTTTGGGAAGTGTGTTGGGGCAATAAATTTTCAGCACTTTCTCATAGTATTTATATGATTATGCTGAACGTAAATGGGGGATCAGTTCTCTATTGGTATTTAATAATAAACTGATCACTCCAAGAATTAGTATAATATCAGCCTGACCATGAAACCTGTCTAAAACAAAATTTTGATATTTGGTCAGATTTTGGGAAGTTGCTTGCGCCAGGAACTTTTCAGCACTTTGTTATAGTATTTATATGATTATGCTGGACATAAAGTGGAGGATCGGTTTTCTACTAGTATTAAGCCTCAGCCAAGAAACCTGTCTGAAACAAAATTCTGATATTTGATCAGATTCTGTGCCAAGAACTTTTCAACAACTTGTATTGATATACCATGAAAAAATCCTCTGAAGACAGTATTTATGATAATTTATTGTTTTTTATTCTGTTCTAGGTTCGTTGTATAACAGAAGGTTACTTAAAAGCAACACAGAAACTATATGCCTATGCAGGACAGGTATGTACCAATACCAATTCATTGTAACTGCATATTTTTGTTCTCTGTACCATGTATTATTATGTTTTAGATATACTTATTTTACTAGTATTACACTTCCTTTGCAGAAGGAGGGGATGTAACTACATACTAGTCTCAACATAAAAGGTCCATGTTTCATACTGATATGTGGATGGTGTAATAGTGGCTCAGACTGAGAAATCGGAGAGCCAAGATCAAATTCCAGTTGGGTTCATTACATCATTAACTTACGTGCAAATATCCTGAGGAAAAGTATGAATATGAATCTATATGCTCCCCCAACTATGGGTTAAATAGTAGGACACATATCTGTAAAAAATTGTTATTATTCTTAAAAAATGGTTGCATACAAATAATTATTTTTACAAGCAAAAACATGTTTTGGCTTCAAATAACCCACAAAGGGTTATGTCATAAAAACAAATCAGTCAAATTAGTAAAAGAAATCCTGGACTGCTTGTAACTAATTCCTGGTCTCAGTGAAAAAGGTCCACACCTCATACTGATGTCTTATTCTTTATTCACAAATTGATGCAGAATTAACACTGTGGAAACTAGATACAAATAACAATTATAACTTTTTAAAGGGAATGAACAAAGTATATTTCAAAAGAAATACACAAAAAATACATCTCAGGCAGTAACAACAAACAATTTGAAACAAACTCAAAGAAATGATGAAGGAACACATGGTGTCTTAGGGAGAATTTCACACATCATAAGGAGTGGATAATGTTGCCTTGTAGACAAGCATTAGAGAAAAGAAAGAAGTTTGAGAGGTTTTCTTACAGGTTTTTAGAAATTATTGCCTATCTTTCTTTACAGGTTTTCTTCCAAGTTAAAAATGAAGGTCAACAGTGAATAATAAAAGGATTAATAATGAACCTGCTAGCATATATAAAAACCAAGTTTGATTTGTTGGATTACTTCCTTCTGATGATAATCACAAGTGAGATTTGAAAGACTCCATATCTTTCTCAATGACTTTCATAGCAAAAAGATGTATTCTTCTTGCTCACGTTGACGTGTAAATAACTCAGCTACAGTCTGCCAATATTGTTTGTGGGTATCAACACTTTTGATGAAAATTTAATGCCCTGGTATATTTGACCCACAAACAATTCATGTGAGTCCAGGTAAAAATACAACTTGAGGACATAGAATTTTAACAAACAAATATCAACAAATATATTGATAGAACTTTTAAAAAGGAAAAGTGAGAAATGAAATTAAATGTGAAGAGTTCAAAGCAACATTCAGTGTCTGTAGCTGAGGTACATGTCAATGGGAGCGAAAAGAATACGTCTTTTTGCTATGAAAGTCAATGAGAAAGAGATAGATTCTTTCAAATCTTGTACAACCTGTAATTATCGTTAGGGTTATGTCATAAAAACAAATCAGTAATTCAAAATCTCACCAATACAGTAATTCACAAAATACATGAATAAATTAAATGTCTGATATTATGTATCCTAGCACTTTAGTGTCAATTACAGGGAAAACCATTTATTCTTGATTATTTTTATGTACATTATTTACATTATTCCTCATTATTGTCCTCATCTTTGTCACCATATTTATTACAATGCTTTGGCCGTTGTATGCTCTGGCCTTCTTCAGGTGGTTGGAATGTTGAACTGAACCCTTTATTTTGCTCACTGGGGTAGACTGTTCTAGTTCTATGTGCCATGTTTAATGGATGTCAGTTATCAGTTATCTCCTGTTAATTTCCCCTCTGAAAGATCTCCACTGCCTTAACCGTGTATTGAACTCATACTCTTTGGGTCCTGTCACTGGATCTAACCAATGCCTTTATCCACTATGCATATCTTCTACTTGTCTATATTTTTCAAACACATAAAAATAACTGTCTATATTTCTATGAAATGCAGATAGAGTTTGAAATCACTTATTTTGCAACCTCTTTCCAACAGATATTGCAATCTCTATGGCTATTTCCATAGCAAATTTTCAAATCATCCATTCTTTAGTTCTACCAATTCAGACCTTTGTAGCTTTACACACCATGTCACTTTCACAGAGTCAGATCATTCTCATTTCCTCCATATTTCAATTGTCTTAAGAAAGTTCCAATCAGCTTTTTCCCAAAAACTTTTCATTGTGGAAGAGACTCCAATATGAAGCACTACAATCTTAACCATTTCTTAGATCAATAATTAAAAATGGCTTCAAATGAATTAAACCTTTAAATCTTAAAGAATATGAGCCTTCATCAGATCTTATTGACTGATACTATAAAATCAAAAGTGCTTTACCAAATCACAAAAACCACACGACTTGAGAACTTTCAACAGCAATAACAACAAAAACGGATAGCTCATATAACTAGAAGATAAAAGAATGATATAATCAAGTTGTTAACTTCGAAGACTCCCAAAAGCAAAATGTTTGGTAAGAAACTCTCATCAATACTAGAAAGAGCAGTAACAGTGAACTCGAGTAGACTAATGTTCTGAAAATATGCTTGAAGAAAAAGATTTTATAAATTTCAGTCAACAGAACTGCTAACTGTTGAATGTCTCCTGCATGGAAATGACTGTTAATCAATATCAATAGAAGGAAAATGTCCAGATCCCAAATTGCATTCAATGTTATAACCTAAAAAAGTCAGGGAAAAAAAGGGCATTCTGCTTTGAGTTGCTGGATGTGGGACATAGTTGCTACAATTGGATAGTTTAGATGCATAGAAAATCACCATGGAAGTTGTACTACATGCAATATATTCTGTTACTTTCAGACAATCACATGTTTCACACCATGCAACACTTGTAATTTGATCAACATTCCCATCAGTTTAAATATATTTAAAAATTCTCCAAGGATGTAAATGAATTAAATCCAGAATAATTTTTTTTTTTTAATGATGTAAATTTTAGCAGAATCATGGCCTAAAAACAGAAAATAATTTAATGGCAGAATAATGATGTTATAAATTTATATGAAGATTTTGTTAAAAAATGCTGGGAAATTTTGCAGCAAATACTCTTATTCTAAAAGAGAAAATATCTGTCAAAGCTAGAAAAGATTTACTTTGGGATATATTTCTGACATGTTATTTATAAATTTAGGCTCTTCCAAAGTTAACTTTGTTTAATTGGTATCTATACTGTTGATTACTTAAATGCTTCTTATTTTGTCTGTTTTGCAGAAGTCTGGAACAAACACTATTGACACTCTTCTCTCTCAACACAGTGAACGAATCTTAGACATTTATGCAGCAGCACATAAAGTCTCCAAGCTGTCACAGATGATCATGTAAGTACTTCTGGTTTCATTAAGACTTTGCCAGATAATAAAGTAAGTTTGAATCACTCTGGGAATGATGAAAAATGAATCATCCTCAGGAACAGGATATCTTGTGCATCAATTTATATCTGTGTCAAATGAAAGAAAAAATTGATAAAAATGTTTTCATATTGAAACCAAATCCTTTTAGATTTAAATGATATGGATAAAAGTCATCAGAATGTTTTTGTCTTAGTCATGTAGCAGCTATGAGATGTTAGTACTTTTGTGAATCAGAAAATAGATGTTACATCGATCGCAGTTTGTTCAAATCTATCTATATATCTAGTCTATTTATATCTATCTAGCCTGTTTATATCTATATAGTCAGTTCATATCTATCTATCTATCTATCTATCTATCTATCTATCTATCTATCTATCTAGTCAGTTCATATCTATCCATCTATCTATCTATCTAGTCTGTTCATATCTATCAGTCTATCTATCTAGTTTGTTCATATTATCTATGTATCAAGTCTGTTCCGTTCTATCTAGTTATCTAGTCTGTTCATATCTATCTATCTATCTATCTAGGATGCTTATACCTGTCTATCTAGCCTGTTCATATCTATCTATCTATCTATCTATCTATCTATCTATCTATCTATCTAGGATGCTTATACCTGTCTATCTAGCCTGTTCATATCTATCTATCTATCTATCTATCTATCTATCTATCTAGGATGCTTATACCTGTCTATCTAGCCTGTTCATATCTATCTATCTATCTATCTATCTATCTATCTATCTATCTATCTATTCTGTAAACATCAATGTATCTTTATCTATCTAATCAGTTCATATCTGATCAATCAATCTATATATTATCAATTATCAATCAATTTATCAATCTATATATATTCTATTCATATATATCTATCTCTGTATCTTTCTAATCCGTTCATATCTATCTATCAATCAAATTCTATTCATATCTATCTAGTCTGTTCATATCTATCTCTCTGTCTATCTACCGAGTGTTTTCATATCTTACTATCTATCTAGTGGCTTCATATTTATCTATGTAGTCATATCTATCTATCTATCGATCATGTTAATATATATATCTATATATCTATCTGTCTAGTCTGTTCATATATATCTATCTAGTTTGTTGGTATCTATTGGTCTATCTAATGTGTTCATATCTATCTATCTATCTATCTATCTATCTATCTGTGTTGTTCTTTGTCATGTAGCAGCTATGAGATGTTAGTACTTTTGTGAATCAGAAAAATAGATACATCCATCTAGTCTGTTCATATCTATCATGTTCATGTTTCTCATTAGTCTGTTCATATCTATCTACTCTGTTCATATTTAACTTTCCAATCACATTCCATCTCTCTCTCTCTATTTCTCTGTCTCTCTCTCTCTCTCTCTCTCTCTCTCTCTATCAATCAATCTAGTTTGTTCAAATCTATCTATCTATCTATCTATCTATCTATCTATCTATCTATCTATCTATCTATCTAGTCTGATCATATCTATCTGTCTATCCTTCTGTTCATATCTATCCAGTCCGTTTGTATCTATCATGTTAATATATATCAATCTATCTATGTAGTCTGTTTGATATGCCATTAACCAAACCAGACCAAAAACCGACACTTGATTTACAAAGTGATTTTGTTACAAAGAATATATTTTTTTATTCATATGTATCTATATATACTATATAAAAAATGTTGGCATTAAATAACCCTTTGAGGTTGATATGCCATAAAACAAAACAAGCAAACAAATTTATCCAGTCTATCTATCTATCTATCTATCTATCTATCTATCTATCTATCTGTGCATTTCTATCTATCTATCCTGTTAATATATATCTATGAATCTATCTATCTAGTCTGTTCATATCTACCTAGTTTGTTGGTATCTATCTATCTATCTATCTATCTATCTATCTAACCTGTTCATCTATTTATCTAGTTTGTTGGTATCTATTGATCTATCTAAAGTGTTCATATCTATAGTTGTAACCTAGGGAAGTTTACTGAACAGAATAATTACATGAAAGTTGGTAATGAACAATAATACTTAGGACAAGAACAACACATATAAGATTTGCCAGCAGTGCGTAGAAGTAGTAGTCAACTGCTAGAAGTGAATCAAGTGAATACCACAATGAATCTCCATGTACAGTATTCACTAATGTATTTATGGGAATGGGGACATACCCATTATCCTCCGTAGGTATGCTACAACAACCCCCTTTTTTTATTTACTCTCTACAGAGCCAATATTTTTTCTTTTTGAGTTGACTTTGATTCTTTCCAGATCCCTTTTGTTTTTTTACTCTGTCTTTTTCTGACTTCTATTTCTGGAGCTTTTTGAGGGATGGGTAAATCAAATGTATCAAAATTAACCTCCCTAGGTTCAACCTCATCTGGAGTAATGTTCTCTTCAGTTGAATGCCTACTTTTAATTTGATTATAGTGCCTCTTTTGCACCATTTCAGGAACTTTTACTAGATACACGATGCTGCCAGATCCGACTTCCTAATATGTTTTATTTGATTGGTACATCCAGTAAAATAAAAAAAACATTTTGACCAATTTTATAAAAAATTTTTTCAGGTTTTTGTACCACATGATTATGTTTTTCTCTTGTTGCGTATAAGCTTGTCCAAAAACTGATCATATTTTCCATGTAAACATAATTTCTGCTGGAGCCATTGCCAAAGGTGCATTCTATTCAGTGTAAAAATTGATGTAATGCAGCATCTGTGAACTTACCATTGGCTTTTTTAGTGCCCTTTTGAAGGTATCCATGAAATGCTCTACCTGGCTGTTGCTTCTAGGATGGTAAGGGGCAATTGTTATGTGTTCTGCCACAAACATTTTACAAGATTCCTTCAATTCCTTTGATGTAAATTGAGTTCCATTATCTGAAACAATTGAATCTGGCACTCGCGAACAGTTTGCGTAAAAACTGAAATACTACTTGCATGGTTGGTTTGTTATAACTGAATATCTCTGCCCACTTTGAAAAACTGTCTATGACAATCAGATAATATGTCCCATTAAGTGGACCAACAACAAGTCAACATGCAGACGTGACCATGGGCGGTCAGTTTCTGGCCATGAGTTGAACTTAATTGGTGGTGCTTTAGTTGCCAAAGCACAGTCCTTGCATGACTTCACTAGACATTCAATGTCTCTATCCATGCTACATCTCATCAAGCTTTTCATTCTGGATATATCAGGATGTCCTGCATGAAATTCTTTCAGGATTCTCTTTTGTAGTGCCAAAGTTACCACTAGTCTTTCACTGTAAATGAGAATGTCATCGCATATCTCAATATACTCCCGAATCTGCTTTAGTCTTGTCTTGAAGTCTTTTTTTCATTTCAGTAATAAATTTGTCCTCCAATGCTTTACTTTTTATATCTTCCAATGTTACAGGTAGTTCTCGCACATGATTGCATAGTATGTTTTTTATCTCTACTTTTTCAGGGTAGATAAAGAGATAAAGCAATGACTGTGTCTTCTAAAGGTTTATTATTTCTTGGAATAAGTCTGGACAACTCGTCTGCATGACTTAATTTACACGATGGCAAGAATTCCATTTTAAAGTCATAATTAGTAAAATGGTTCCCCATCATTGCAGCTGTTATGATGTTGATTTGGGGTTAGTCTTCTGACATACCACTATTTAACGTCTTTGTTCGCAGATAAGTTCATCTTCAAGAGGGGTGGTAGGTTTCTGACACAACACCTCCCCCTTGAGATTAATTCCGGAGGAATTAATATCTTTTCCTTTTGGGATCTGGACTTAAACGTTCCACCCTAGTTCTTTTTCTTTTGCTTGTCCTTCTTTGGACAACTGTTTCAAGCAATGGTGGAGTTGGTATATCAAATAAATCATATAATACCTCCATTGGTTCTTCATTTTCTTTACTTATTTTTTCGATGATTCTTTTCTTTAATTGGTTCAAATGTCTTTTGTGCATCCATTTTTTACTTCTTATCATGTACAACATTTTACCAATTCTTTGCGTTACCACTCCATCTTGCCAAAATTCCTTCCCATTTTTGTAATTTTAAAAAAAAACTTAATCTCCTGGCCTGAAATATTTCATATTTTCCTGATGCGTTTTGTTCTGGTAACTCTTTTTTCTTTCCGGCAGCAGCCTATTGAACACAGATCTAATTTTCCTAGCAAACATCAGTTCAGCTGGAGACATCCCTGATATTGCGTTTGGATTTAGTGTTATTCTGTATATACTTAAAAACTGCTGTATATTACCATCATCTGTATTAGTACCATTTGTTTTTTTAAGGGCTCTCTTGAACGTATCAACAAACCGTTCAGCCTGTCCATTTGACCTAGGATGGTACGGTGAAGTCAGTGATGTGGTCAATTCCCAGAGTCTTACAAAACATCTTAAATTCACTTCCTGTGAATTGAGTTCCATTGTCTGTGACAATTTTTTTCTGGTACTCCAAACCGTGCAAACAGTTCTGTAAGAAAATCTTTTGTTACAGAAGCAGTTGGTCTTTGCACTTAAAAACCTCAGGCCACTTGGAATAGCTATCCACAACTATCAAGTAAAATTACCATTCATGGGTCCAGCATAATCTATGTGAGTCTGGTCCATGGAACATCTGTTTTTGGCCATGGTGTGTATTTTACTGGCGGTGCTTTCACTGCCATTTGACACCCTCTACAAGTTTTAACTACCTGTTCAATGTCTTTGTCCATATTTGGCCAATAAACATAACTCCTCATCAGTGCTTTCATACGTCCAATACCAGGATGCCCCTGATGAAATTCCTTCAAAATCCGCTTTTGTAGTACAACCAGTATCATGACCCTTCCAGCATATAACAGCACTTCATCACATATTGAATATGTTGGTGAAGAAGTTTTATACTTTCCTGAAGTTACAACTTCTTTCATTTTTCTAATAAAAATGTCTTTTTCTGCTTTTAATTTTATTTCATCTAATGTCACCGGTAATTCTTTTACTGTGTTATGCATTACTTCCACCAATTCATTTTCTGCTTGTAATGACGCTATCACCGTATCTTCTAGCGGTTCTGAAGACAGCATGACTTAAATTTTTCGATGATAAAAATTCCATTTTGAAATTGTAATTCAACAAAATGGTTCCCCCCATCGTTGCAAACGTTTTGCCGTATGAGTAGGTATACCCTTCTTCGAACCATAGATTGAAAGCAGCGAGGCGATGGTCGGTCTTCAATATAAACCTTCTTCCATGTATATACTTATGGAATTTTTTTTTTACAAGCATAGATGATAGCTAAGCTTTCTTTCTCAATTTGAGAGTACTTCTTTTCTGCGGGTAATAATGTCCTTGATGCATGTGCCACTGGCTTCGTATTGCCGTCTCTGAATTTATGCAGAATTACCGCACCTATTCTGTACTCGCTTGCGTCTGATGCCACTATAATTTCCTGTTTAGGGTCATAATGTGTTAGTGATAATTTCGACGTCAAAATATTCTTTATTTTGTCAAACGCCTTCTGACACACTTCTGACCATTTCCACTTTGCTCCCTTTTTAAGCAATTTATTTAATGGAGCCGTAAGGCTGCACAAATTAGGAATATATATCCCATAATAGTTAGCAAGTCCTAAGAACGCTTGTAGCGTTACTACATTTTTGGGAGATGGCATGCTTTTGATTGCTTCTGCCCTTCCCAGATATGGTCTTCTTCCATCAGAGTCTATTATCTGCCCCAAAAACTTAATTTCACTCATAAAAAATTCACATTTTTCAGCTCCAAGTTTGAATCCATATTCTTCAATTCTTTCAAAAACCTGATTAATATGTTCCAAATGTTCATTTTGATCTTTACTTTTTATCAAAATATCATCAAGATATGCAATGGCGAAGTCCAACCTTGCTTGCGCAGTGTCCATAATTTGCTGAAAAATACTAGGGGATACTTTTAAACCAAAAGGCAAATGGTTAAATTTGTATAAACCCTTGTGTGTATTGATAGTCAACAATTTAGAACATTCTTCGTCCACTTTCACTTGGAGATAGGCATCCGATAAATCCAATTTAGAGAATATTTTTCCTCCACTTAAACTTGCAAAAATGTCTTCTGGTGAAGGCAAAAGGATATGTGGTCTTTTAAGCAATCATTTAGACCCGTAGAGAAATCGGCACACATCCGAATTTTATTATTCTTTTCTTAACATATACAACAGGGCAGGCCCACTCTGAAAATTCAATGCGTGAAATAACTCCTAAATTTTCAAGCCGTTCCAATTCTTTGTTAATCTGTTCCAAAACACCAAATGGCACATTTCTTTTTCACTTGAAAATAGGTTTTACATTTTCCTTCACTTCAAATTTTGCCTTCGTCTTTTTACAACATCCAAGACCTTCTGAAAATACTTGCGGAAATTTTATTTTCAGATCTTTCAACAAATTTTCTGTAACCCGATTTTTACATGGAGAAGAGACATTAACTCTATTGCAAAAAGAATTCATAGGGAGTTCCCATAAATTAAAAAGTATAATCCAATCTCTTCCAAACAAATTTGAAGCATTTTGTAGCACATACACTTTAGACTTTAGTGTCTTACCAACAAATGAAATATTACAAGAAAATTCACCTTGAAAATGCAATTTTCTTCCAGAAATCCCGCGAGCCACTTTTTCAGTCTTTTTAAACAAAGGTCTGCCTATTTTAATCCATATTGCTGTATTAATAATGGAAATATCACTTCCAGTATCTAGCTGTAGTTTAACATTTTTTCCATTAATTTTTACCTGTACGAATTTTCTTTTCTGCCCCTCCTCAATCTCCTGATGTGACAATACAATATCACATCTTTTTTCGACTTAATTTTTTTTTCTTTTGCTTTTACAATGAGTACTTATATGGCCTTTATTGCCACACGAATAGCAATTTTTGTCACGAAAAAAACATTCACTTTTGAAATGACCACCACCGCATCCAAAGCATGTTGGTTTTTTAACGTTTTTATTAACTATTCCCTTTTTTGATCGAATAGCATGGACACGGGATACGTCTTTTTCTTCAATTTGTGTATTGTCATCTTTTAAGTTTTCAATTCTTTGACATTCTTCCGTAACCTTCTGCAAAGTAATCTCGGAATTTTGTTCAAGTTTTGCCAATATTTGGGACCTTATGTCCTTATCTTTGCTAGAAGTCAAGTCTTGAACGAATATCAAACATTTAAATCGATCAATTGAAAGATCATGTAACATAAAACGTTCACACATTCTGTTAACATTTCCAGCATACGTAACAATATCCTCATCGTCATGCTTTACCATATTCAAACACAAGAAATGAGTATGAAACAAACTAACTCGCTCGCCAAAAATACTAGATAAAGTATTAACAGTTTCTTCGAAAGAGATGTCAGCAGTTTTTCTTGGAAGGACAAAATCCGTATACTTATTATTTTCATCTGTACCCAACTTTTGTAAAAGTAAACTCACTTTTTGTTCATCAGTCCAACCTTCACATTTTTTTTCAAATATTGTTTCAAATCTTCTGAAATACGCAGGAAATGTTATGCCCTCCTCTGGGTTAAATTTGAACTCAGTAATAGAATTAGCAATACCTTCAGTCGTGAATAACGAATTTACTGGATTCTTAAGTAAAATTGCTTCATATAAAGCCTTTGTGTCATTTTGCTGCTGAACTTGTAAATCCAATAGTTGTTCCCGAAACAATTTTTGTTGCTCTTGTTGCTGAATTTGACTTTGCACTAGAGTTTTCATTAATGCAATCAAATCTTCCATTATGCGTAATAGATTACAAAAAACACTTTTCGAAAACAGACAAAAAGGGAAAAACACGTATATATCCACAATAAGCACAGGACTTACTTCTTTTAGGCACGTTGAAATCCCAATTTTTCGTGAAGAACAAAGTTCGACGTATTTTTTTTTTTTTTTTTTTTTTTTCAGAGCGAGAAAAAAAAAATTTATATAGTCCACCTAGAGTTGAAAAATTCTCCACTCAACATGATGAACGAATCTCTTGTCGCCACTGTTATGATGTTGATTTGGGGTTAGTAGAGACAAACGCCAAATAACACGTAACAATAAAAAGGGTTTTAATAGGTTGGTAAATAGGTACAGAAATCGCCTGAGTAGTTAATCACTAGCTCAGCTAAGAACTACTCTGTCTCTCTGTCTTCTGACATACCACTATTTAACGTCTTTGTTCGCAGACAAGTTCATCTTCAAGAGGGGTGGTAGGTTTCCAACACAACCATAAGAGTTGGTAGTCCCTGTTTGGACCCATGAATCCCTAGCAGCAGTTTGTGTTCTGTTTGTAGAGTAAACCATCTCTTGCGAATGAATCTATGAAATTTTTTCAGAGCAAACACAATCCCTACATTTTTCTTTTCCATCACGGAGTAATTTTTCTCAGCTGGAAGAAGCGTCCTGGATGTGTGTGCAATTGGTTTAATTGAGCCATCTGAGTTTATGCATAATACAAGCTCATATACCATATGCACTAGTGTCACTTGCTACGATTATTTCATTTTTGTGATCAAAACAAATCTGATGTTAGTATTTTTTTAATTTTCTCAAATGCTTGCTGGCCCATTTGGTTTCTTTCTTCAAAAGCTCATTCAATGGAGCTCACAAACAATGTAAAATACATTATAGTAAATAGTAAAAATACATTATAGTAACTTGCTAACTCCAGGAAACTTTGTAGGGTACTGACATTTTCAGGAGCACGCATGTCCATTATAGCACTGGCTTATGCTGGATCTGTTCTCCTGCCCTTCTTGTCAATTATCTGACCTAAATATTCAATTTTGTCTATAAAGAATTCTCACTTTGTCTTTTAGTTTAAGGCAAGTGGATTGTCTAAGATATTTCATCCCCAGAAGCTGAGCTACATAGAAGAAAGGTAGTGTTGTGCATGTGGCAGAATTGTTGGGGTATAATTTGTTTAGAGTTTTTAAAATGAAATGTTACAATAAATGTGTCCTAAAAGTTGGGTCAAAAAGTGCTCTGCTCTCAACAACAGGAAAAATATTCTCCTCCATTACAATGTAAGCCCACATACAACAAGAAAAAATGTTGTAACCTAATTTTTTTTATCTCTACTACCTGTTATGTTCACCTGACATTGCATCAACTAATTATTACCTTTTTCAATTGCTCCCAAACATTTTGATGGAGAAAACTTTCAATAATGAAAACCAGACTCAAGTGTTTGTTGAAAACAGTTTCACCTGTAGAATTTTACTCAAGATATCGAAGAGCTACCTGATAAGTAGCAACAAGTCATTGCAAATGAGGGTGGATATATAATTAAATAAAATGTAATTGTATTTTACATTTTGAAGAATAAAATTGATAAACAAAAGCAGAAATTAATTATGATTCAACTTAATATATTTTATATCCAGGATTATCTGCCAATTGTTTCTTTGCTAAGCAAAGAAATTCACACTTGCTTGACTCATACAATTTTCTGCAAGTTTTATGTACACAGTGTCTTTCAATTTTCTCACTCTCCAATGATGCACCTTGTCTGTTACCTGAGCAAATAATATGATCCCACTATTGGGAGGAGCCTGAAAGCCATGGATGGAACCCAGCCTTTTAAGTGAACTTGGGTAGATGGAACTGTTCATTAGCTGTCACAAATCTTCAACTAATGGACAGGTAGAAGCTTTTTACTCATGGTATATATTTAGATAGTGTCATGATAAAAACACTTATCCCCCGTTCACTTGGATGTATTGGTCTAAAAACAGAAATTCTTCAAAAGAAAAAAGTCATACAAGTTTGCAATCTACCACAGGTGGAAATAGTGCAACTTTATCACATGGTAATACTAGTTGTTCCCTTGTAAGGAAACCTTTGACATTCATTGACCAAGCTGTCATTGCTATTGTAAGTTGAAGTTTATAAAATCTTTTTATTAAAATAATTTTTCAGAAAAATGGGTTTCTGAACTGTTATATTCATTACTGATGGGGTCTTCCTTCATAATTTTTTGTTTGAAGTGGTGTGGAACATGAACATCTCGATTAGGTCATTGTTTTCTCTTCAAATGCCAATCCATTTTTAATCATTGATCTTAGAAACTGGTTGTATACAGTTGACAATTTAGATATTACTGAACATGCATGACATCCATATGAAAGTCTTTATCTGACAAGGCTATCTGACCTGACTCAATTTTTTAGATTAATGTTTTAGTTTTGTAGCAACTTCCAGTGTTGGGTGAAACTAGCCTTATGTGTAATCATCAATTTTTATCTCTGTAAAGAAAATAAATCAATTAAAAAACAGGAGCAGAAAACGTTCAATTACAGCATTGGATCAGAATTCTTTCCATTTTTTTACAGAACTGTAATTGAAGCAGTGATTTCAAAATGACTGATGATGACTGACAAACACGTTTTATTGAGAGGCTGAAATATTTGCATTGTTTCTATTCTATTTATTCTTTTTTATTTTCTTTCAGCCAGTTGATAGTTCTTTTGGAGATTTCAAATGGTGCACAACCATACAAGGTAACTGATACAGCATTGAAGAAAGCAATCAAGGCCTTGCAGATGACCTGGAGCACAATGCAACCACCTGCTGGTCAGGTAATGGAAGAAATAGCATCAAGAATGCCTCTTACAGATGCTGAGGTGCACATTTTTCATATTCTTTTGATTTAAAGAAATTTCCTTTGATTCTGTTCACTCTTTTATCCATTACTACTTCCATGATACAGAAGTCCATTTTTTTAATGTCATGTTCCTTCAGGATATAAATCATCATGGCTCTCCACAGCTTCATTTTCTTTATTATCTATGAATTGCCATGACTTCATGAGTAGTTTCCTATTGCCTATTTCTATGTGATTTACCACTGAGCCATAGGAAGCCATAACAAAAAGCCTTTTCTTCTGCTACAGAAGGGACATTTAAGAACATTTTTATCCCATTTTTCCAAATAGAGAGAACCAGCTGCCCATCTGCTTTAAAAATCAGCATACAAAATACCTAAAAATTAAACTCTAACCATTTAAAATTTGACAAAAACTTTTCAAAGCAAATTTAAGTTATTGAGGTTTATATGTTTTGCATAATAACTTCAAACAGATTGCCAGGAAATACAGTCCATGTACAATGAACTGTACATTTAATGGCAATTAAAAAGTAGCTTATGTAAGGCAAGGGTACCTTATTCCCTTTCAGTGTAATCTACTTTGGACCTCATACATTTATCCCAGCACCCAACTTTTCAAAAGTCCTTTAAGCCTTATTATGTTTTCCATAATTTTATCCAAGGTCTATAATCTTTTCTATAATCAATTTTTGTTATCAGGAAAGGGTAAACCAGATGTCCCAAGAAGTCAAATCTGAAGTAATATTTTTGTTAGTTCCAATCTCTATTAGAAATCACTTCTAAGAACATCACACCCTTCCCCAGATTTACAGACAAATCCTAAAGTTGCATGCCAGGATTTCTTCCCAGTCACTAAAAATGGACAATTTTTGGTCACATCCCCAGTATTTTTGTTCTTTCATGCCTTGAAGTCAGAAAGCTATAATCACTTGACTGTAGCCCTTTTGCATGTTAACACAATCCTTACATTGTAATCTTTTTGCCTTATTACTGTTGCTTTGCCTAGTTTTGTCTTGCATATATATTGTTTGCTTAGTATTATTTTGTCCTGTTTTTTTTCTTCTTTTATTTATTGTTTATTGAGAACTTTTGAGAAGTTTTGCCAAAAATCTTTAGTCTATGACAATGAAGAATGAGTAGTTGAGATATGCTAATCTGTGAAAATCTAGGCAATCTGTGAAAATCCCAGATTATGCTGCAGCTCACATTTGTTGAACCTTTTTGGGTGTTCTACTTGTAGCAAACCTAGAATATGAATTGCTTTTAACAGATATCTAGCTGAACTTGAAGGCTCAGTATTGGGATTTTATCAGGGCTTCTCTTATTGAATAATCTCCAAAATTCATCATAATCATTTGAATGGTTCCTGTGTTGATGCATATTTTCTGGGAATGTAACAGTCACACAGTAGACAATGTCTCAATGCCAAGTGAATAATCCCCCACTGACAGAAGTATTTCTGTTCATATTCAGCATGGTCTTTTCTGTTTTGTTGCCAAATTACAAGAAGGTCACACAACAAGTTCTCAAGATATTCAAAATAGTTGAATTCTCCTCTGACAGACTTTATATACAGATATGAGGATGTGCTGAAAAGTTCTCAGTCTGATCCACTTCCAAAACTTTGTATTTCAATGACCAAAAATCGAGATACTAAGATGGACAGTTTTTCACCATTTCATATAATATGATTACTGGTTATATGTGTGTGTGTGTGAGTGAGTAAGTACTAACACATACATATAGATGCAGATCTTTACTAAGCTTTGTTCACCAGAAGTTCTGATTAAGGGAGACATTACTTCATAATAGTCTGTAAGATTACATTGCTTTGCCACAGTAGATACTTCAATATTATCCTCTTTCTTCCTCTCTCTTTCTGTCTGTCTCTCTCTCTTTCTCTCTCTCTCTCTCTCTATATATATATATATATATATATATATATATATATATATATTGATGCATATAACATAGATTACTGGTTATCAATATAATATTGCAAAACATTGCTCCCTGGATAATCTGGATAATAATATCACTGTATCAGTCTAAGCACGTTTCTGTCTATCTCTACAGATGAATCTGTCTGCTATATAAATTTAAAGAAATGATGTTTCAGTTGAAAATATTGCTTTTCTTCAGATTACAATGTTCCGATCAGAAGCAACTGATTACATCAGATCAATGATACCTAAAATCAAAACAGGACCAGCATTTTACCCTTTAGAAGCAGAAAACTTTAGAAATTTTCGAACAAATATGGGGTAAGTAAATTTTCTTGGATTTTATTTTTAATTGTGGCTATTATTTTACTTCAAGGACTGAATTTATATTCTTAATAGAGAAAATGGAAATTCGATTTGAAAACATTGTATAAATGTATAAATTGATATATATATATATATATATATATATATATATATATATATATATATATATATATATATATATATATACTACTAGTAGAGCCCGGCGTTGCCCGGGGTTGTAAGAGATAGATCAAGTATCGACCATCATAAAGACTGAAAAATAAAATTGACAAAAGATTATTGTTTAAGGTTGACGGTCACGCATGTCTTTATTAGTTTTTTTTTTTTTTTTTTTTTTTTGAATTGGTCAAACCCAAACGCAAACAAAAACATTGTTTACAATCGTTATGAGTTTATCGATTGGTGAATACAATTTTATTATAAACAATTGTCTTGTAAATGGAATTTTTAAAGCATTCTGAATGTAAATAATGAAAAAAGTGTGCAAGACAATAAGAAATACTACCTGCAAAAAAAAAAAAGTGGATGTTTGTTTTATCGGCTGAAAAATGTAAGAAATCCGATCCCATATATAAAGGAACACACACACACACACACACACACACACACACACACACACACACACACACAAACACAAACAACCTGGGTTTTTTAACCTAAGTCACTCCACGGAATCGCTAAAACATAGAGCATAGTCTGATGAAAAAGACGCTAAAGTTTATGAAAACAAAATTTTATCGTCAAAATGCTTATGTTTTTATGAAGAGGATAGACTAAATTTTTTTTAATTATTTTTTAAAATTTTTCCATCTTTTTAGAATATTCTAAATTTTGATTTAAAAAACGTTGTTTCTCTTTGTTGCAACAAGGGGTAGTAAATAACAATTTTTAGCGCGTTTTTTTGTATTTACACACATTAATTAGGAAAATCTTGCAAAAATAAAAATAATTGTCAGGCGTTAATGAAACTTTCAGAAACTATTCACAGATGATCGAAATTATTATAAATATGTTTTTCTTTTTATTAAAGTCATGGCAGAAATATTTTTTTTTATATTTATTAACACCCCCATAACTAATTTTATGAAAACTCTAGAAATTCGAGACCATCAGTTTTAGTGATTACAATAGTTAAAAGCACAAGGCTTTGAAGAATGCAAATCATGTATTTTTTTTTTTTTTTTTTTGGCCAACGTGCCTGAAAATCAGCTGTGAATACAAAACTCAATAAAACAAATATATTATTTAGTTTCAAATGCTTTTATTTGTTTTAATTTGTTTTTATGAATATGGACAATATTTTCTGGAAGCAAAAAAATTTTTCAATGAAAATTGAATTTTAATACAATTATTTCTTATTTCTTTAATTTTAAAATGATTTTTAAAAAATGTTTAAATTGAATTTAAAAAAATATTTTAACATTAGTTAAATGCAACATCAGCCTTTCAAAATGTCCGTGTGAGATTGTCATTGTCTAGCGCTTTGAAAATTGTATAATTTAAACCAATCAGATTAGCCATGGTAATTAAGAAATGTAATTTTTGTGTTTATAGTTGGACAGTAATTATCAAGTACGGAAGACCAACCAGAATACAATTTAGTTGCATTATTTGAGTTCAGCATTGTTCTCCGCTGTTAAGCCCTTTACTTTTGCGAAACATGTATGGAACATAAAATTATAGTATTTTATGTACACTTCTGATAAAATTTCATAAGAAAGGTACCTAAATTAATTAGATACCTTTTTCTTATGAAATTTAATCTCACTATTAACAGTCTTATTTTTTAATTTCTTTATATTTTCCATAAAGCATCGTAAACGTAAAAATGAAAGCTAAGTACAAAAAAAAAAAAAATAAAAAATTAGAGCGCTGAAAGTTTTCCTTAAAAGTAATGAGGTAAATAATTTGTTCACTTAAATAATTTCACTTCCTTCCATCCGTAGAAAGAATTACCCTCCCGTAAGTTATCTAAACGTCATGAATGTGCCTTTTGTCAATCGTCAAGCGACGCGAAAGGTTATGACCTGCTTTGTTTTATTTTCAAATTACATTTTTTCGGCGCAGAAGCTAAATTAAGCTTGGTTCAAAATATTTTAGATAAACAGTATAATATCTGTTTTTATTAAAATCAGTTTTGAAAAAATGATAATTGATTTTTAAAAGAATATCAAAGTAAGATTTTAATCTTTTTTATCAAATCGAAAAAAATGATTAAAAATGATTGATTATCTGTCCTTTTTTTGACCAAAAAAAACAATATTTTTAACGAAAATTTCAGACGTGCTAGGAACGATTAAAAAATGTAAAAAAATACTCCAAAAATACTTTGATCTTTCCTCTTTAATAATAATATGAACATTAGACGATAAAATTTTGTTTTTCGTCCAAGTTAAGCGTCTTTTTCATCATGCTATGCTCTTTTTGTTTACATTGTCGTGGGTGAGTTGTCCCCTTTCATTCTCACGATGTGTCTTAATCGTGTTTTCAAATTGATTTTCTTAAAAAACAACTGTGTTTTTCCCATTTTCGGCGCTGTTAGAACCACCAAAAGGTAATTTTATGTAGTCCTGTGAAGTTTTGTTGAAATCATAAAAAAATGTAGGAAATTCGATCCAACATATAAACGTTACAGACACACACACACACACACACAACCTGCGTTTTATAATAAGTAAGATATATATATATATATATACATACATATATATATATATATATATATATGTTATTTTTTTTAATTTATTTTGTTTAAACATTATTTTTGATGGATACTTGTATTCAGGTAAAAGCTCTGTTTTTTAATTAAACAGTATTTTTTATCAAACTTGGATAAATAATACTGTTTAATTAAAAAAACAGCTTCTACTTGAATATGAGTATCCATCAAAAATAACATTTAAACAAAATAAATTAAAAATAAGTATGTAGGATTTAATCCATTTCCTAAAATATATACATTTCTAATGAATCAATGGATTTATATTTAATCCATCATCATTCCATGGCTCAGTGCTTGTTTGTATCAACAACATTCTAGACAATTTTCCTCCAGTGGTAGCATCCTTAGCTGGTGAAATCTATTGTTTTTGTGTTTTTGTTTTGCAGCTTCAGTTGGCTGGGTTTTGAATTCAGAGTTGTCTTTCTCCTAGACTGGTTGCCAGCAACAGCTAGAGAGCACAGTCTGTTCTGCTATTTAATTGATATATATATATATACATGTAATTATATGTGCGTGTATGTATATTTGTTATCATACCCATACCTATATATATATATATATATAGGTATGGGTATAATATTTATATATATATATATATATATATATATAGGTATAGGTATGATATTTTATATATATATATATATATATATGTATATATAAGTATGGGTATGATATATATATATATATATATATATATATATATATATATATATATATATATATATAGAGGTATGGGTATGATATTATATATATATATATATATATATATATATAAGTATGGGTATGATAAAAATATACATATACATGTAAGTATATGTGCATGTATGTATATTTTTTTATCATGCCCATACCTATATATATATATATATATATATACATGTTTCATTAAATAATATAGACAAGTGTTGTCTATTTATCTTATGTAAATTCTTTTCATAACGTCTGATCAGACGTTATGAAAAAAATTTACATAAAATAGACAACACTTAATGAAACATGTATGAATGAAAAAATGGTCCCTAAATACACACAATATATATATATATATATATATATATATATATATAGGTATGATAAAAATTATACATACACACACATATACTTACATGTACATATATATATATATATATATATATATATATATGTATCAGTTAAATAATAAAACAGACTGTGCTCTCTAGCTGTTGCTGGCAACCAGCCTGGGAGAAAGACAACTCTGAATTCAAAACCCAGCCAACTGACGCTGTACAAAGATGGTTAAACATGGAGAACAGTATCGTTAACAGCACAAAAATGCAAACTCAATAACGGTCAGAATATATTTTGCACTTGAAGATTACAAGAACTGCATGAAACTCCAAGTTGTACTATTGACATTGAATATTATGTAATTATGTATATTCACTAATATATATATATATATATATATATATATATATATATATATATATATATATATATATACTGGGCATAACTGTAAAATTGTCCAAATTGGTAACAGCATAATTGTCCCTTCTACAAATGTTTAATATCTAAAAACCACTAATTGAGTTACTTTTTTCAGGTTTTCAGGTAAGACATTTAGCCATCTTGATACTATTTGTTGTAAGAATCACTGAAAAACCCTTTGAATTATTTAGCTAGAAAGAGAATGTTAAAATCATTTTGTGTCAGCTCCACTGCCTTGTCAGTGGTGAGAGGAAAAAAATCATTCAGGCTTTCAGTAATGGTACTGAAATTCATACTCTGGCTTCCATCTTCAAAGTCCATTCAACAACCATCAAAAGTAAATAAGTTTAAAAAAGAGGGAATAATAGAGCGTAAAACTGGATAAGGAAATTACAACAGGAAGAGGGATCATAATTTCAACTTACAGCTAAAGTGACCATTTAGAAAAGATCCAACTCAATCTATAAGACATTTGGCATGTGAGAGAGGGGTTTCAGCTATGACAGATCAAAGATCAGTGAAAAAAGACTTGAAAATGAAATCATATGTCACCCTCACTAGTGATCACTTCAAACATCATGATGTTGATTGGATATTTAGTTTTTATCACTCTCGTTACATTTTTGGGAAGCACAACAAGCCAACAGTTGTCCTCAGTTTGACACCCAAAAACTCTGAAATTTTTGTATAGGAGCTTCCGGTGTGAATGCCAAGCAGTACAGCATGCCATTTCCAAATTTATGGCGAATTGAATTGTGTCACAATGCTCTTTTTCTCAGATGGTGCCCAACTGACACCCACTATACTGTGCAGTTGACAAAAT